AAGTCAACCATAGATCAACCACAAGTCAACCATAAGTCAATCACAAGTCAACTACATGTCCACATCAACCACAAGTCATCCACAAGTCATTATTAAAGAAAGCTGTACAAATGATATTAACAGTATTTCAGTCTAGAAAGAGATGACAGCAAAGTTAGCCAGATACATGTACATGTATGTTATCCAAGACAATAACTGTTGAAAAAGATTAATTTGCTTTGGCCACAGAAGTAGAGATGAAATGAAGAAATCTCCTGTAAGAGCGATTCAATAATGAAAACATTTCTTCAGCTCAGAGATAAGCAGCTTGACTATATAGCTGAACATATGCCTGTAGTATTTTATGTAACATAAAACACATGTGTACATTTTAAAATCGTGAGAACTTCATGATGAAGTTTGATTTCCCTGTTTCTATGCTCTGAATGTCTAAGGAAAGACTTGAATTAGTGCCAGCAATCTTGCACAGTTCCCCACAGCCTCCAACTGCAGAGACTCGTATGCCAAATCCAATGCTTGGTAAAAGTATCAGAGCTCTTCACTTGTGAGACAGTAAAATTGCTATGAGAGAAGCTCTGGGCAGGATTAAGACTAATACTGGTTAAAGAAGGCACTCTGGTTTCTGAGACACTCTTGACAAGTCAGCAGCAGTTGCGATTTTAAAGCAGCCGCTGAAGTTAAAGGTGAGATAAAAGATGAGTTATAAGTTACCAGCATGCATAGAACATCGAGCAGTCAGAGAAAATGTGGCCGCGCAGTGAGGGCACTCTGGTGGGAACCACTCCCTGTTTATGCTGCGCAGTGTCAATTCCTTGCCATCATCTGTTCACTGCGTACAACCCCACACTGAAGACTGTTGTAGTCTAGACTATCACAAGATCACTCACAAGACCAATCTCAAAACCACTCACAAGACTGGTCACAAGACAAGACACAAGACCACTCACAAGACTAAACACAAGACCACTCACAAAAACAGACACAAGACCACTCACAAGACCAGTCACAAGACCAGACACAAGACTAGACACAAGACCACTCACAAGACTAGACGCAAGACCACTCACAAGACTAGACACAAGACCACTCAAAAGACTAGACTCAAGACCACTCACAAGACTAGACCCAAGACCACTTAAAAGACTAGACAAAAGACCACTCACAAGACTAGACACAAGACCACTCACAAGACTAGACACAAGACCACTCACAAGACCAGACACAAGACCACTCACAAGACTAGATGCAAGACCACTTACAAGACCACTCACAAGACTAGATGCAAAACCACTCACAAGAACACTCAAAAGACTAGACGCAAGACCACTCACAAAACTAGACACAAGACCACTCACACGACCAGACATAAGACCACTCACAAGACGAGCCATGAGACCAGTCACAGCTAACATGGTAAGTAATGACAAAGGAATGCTTTTGTCTAAGCTCATTTGAATGGTTTGTAACTTAAATTCAGATTTGCTTTCTTGCGTTGGTCTTGTGACCTAATAAGAAGTCTTGCCCATAACAATGGTACATAGGCTCTGTGCACAGTTTGGCAGGCAATAGCTTGTGGTCCTTAAAACGCAAGTGTCACTTGCACGTCAAACTCTTGCAACCCACCAAAAAGCTTCGGTTTGAAACCTATTTGAAACCCACCAAAGTGCTCCTCACTGCTGTCACAAGTAACAGAAACAGCGCCCTCAACAAACCCTGCACAATTAGGATACACTGTGTACATATACACTACCTTGCGGTGGCCTATCGTCATCTACACTTCCTGCGGTACGCATGCAACGAAATAATGAACAGATACGACAGAGGAGAGAAAAAATCAACACAAATGAAATGAGATGAAATGGGTCAACTGTACATGAAATATGTACCAACCACAGAACTCTCTAAAAAAATAGGTCCAAACATTGATCACATCGTTAAAATTCAACGGCATGTACAAGTAAATAGGTCTCGAACGAGAAGCATGTTCATTACAACAACAATCTGAGAACATTATCAAAACTTGTCCCGACAAAAAAAGTTTGGACATGTTGTGTGCAATTCGAGATGAAACGAAATCCAGCAAAGTGAGTCTTAAGCCCACTGTGTGACTATTTAGTCAAATAGGATTGAAAGTGATTCTTTCAAGATGACGGCCACAAATCTGATCTAACTCCCATTTCAGAACAAATTTGAAGCACACATCACACTTTGACAACAGACGGATTGCCGCTTCTGCCAAAAATTTCCAAGACACTCCAAGTGCCACATTTAAAGCTTGGCTGTCTAGAAACACGGTTCACATTCCATGAAAATGAATGACTAAGCATAATGAAATGCAATGATCAGTTTTCGGGTGAAACACCATTTGGCACAAGACGAATAAAACAGTATACATTTCTAGACTGATGACATTATCAGGAATAAGAAAAACAGTGTACACAATATTTCAATATTTTAAAGGCAAACTGTGTCATTAGCGAATTCAACTGGATCTAAATAAAGCTTTACAAACAGATCTTGAAGAGACGAAAGGAGAAAATCTTAACTTACGCGGTCTGGTATCCAATTCAAAAGACTGTGCTAGCAATGTGAAACTCTGCCCAACCTTTTGGAACTCCCTCTTGAAGGCTAATGGTAGAAAAAGAACAGATGTTGGAAATGCATGTTTTACTTTAGATAAATCAAAGTGGATAACGTTACAAGTCAACAGGGGTGACGGCGAAAGAATGTAACATCTACCTTCTGTTTTACACAATCCAAAGAGCTAAAATATATACATATGATTAAATTTGATGACCAAATTAAGAAGCCATTACTGTAGGGGCACTATGCTAAGAAGGAAGCTGTACATGAGTGTTAAATACCTCTTCAACCAATGAGCCCCGAGCGCGACCAAGAGAGGGTGTAATTTCCCTAGTAACAGAGGTTACTTTGGTAGGAACTGCACTTCACTAGTTCACAAACGATTATGAAATGGGTGCGCTGCAGTCGCGTAGCCACCAATAAAAATGAACACTCCCCACCAACATGGCTCTTTTTCAACCAATGAGGGGGTGCTTCTGGTCAAGGCAGATAGGGCAATGTGACTTGCATAAATGTGCGCACACACATATGAAAGCTTTCAGAATACACGCATGAGTGCGATGCTTCCAAAGTAATGGTGTTTCCTCAGAGACGCCATAATGGATTAGTTTACTGCCTCTTCTGGTAATCAGAAGCCATTATCGCGTTGGCATCACATTCCCATGCAGGTGGTACCGCTAAGGTGTGGTTCTTGCCAAACTACGAGCACAAGTTGAGTTTAAGAGTGGCGCCGTGGTAGTGACCGCTTCTCCTCAGATTAGCTTGTGGTTAGCAAGTATGGTTCTCTTGGCCCAGAGCCCAACACAAGAGACTGCATCTGGTGGATGAAGTTGCCTCTTTTTCTTCGTTGTCAGAAAGGACACCGAGTGCAATTCTCAATTGGGCAGCAGTCCCTACTTGGTCTGTGGGGGTTCCCCATTCCCTTTCCCTACTCATCTCACAAGGTAAACAATATACTTCCTTCCCAATGTTCTTCTGACTGGCTCATGGCCATGAGACAATGTTCATATTCTACTCTACATAACCCTCTGGCTCAATGCCGAGGAGCCCACAAGAATTAGTCACATCACAAAATCGGCTCTGGCCTTATGGTGACAGCTAAAAATGACAGTCACTGCCTTCGTGCCATTCCAGCTTAGGGACTGTCTGAATTTCATGTTCTAAGAGTGAGCGTTTTAAAACACTGGCTTCTTGAAAAATGTGAGGTAACTGTTCCTATGGAAAGTATTTAATACTGACCCTTTGGCAGAACAAAGCACATCAGCTACAAAAATGCATTTAACTTCATCCAGCATTCTTTGAAGTCACGAGATTAAGTTTGAACCAAAAAAAGACAATCGTACCAAAACAAAAACACAGACAAGGGCACAACACTTGACAGCATTTTGATATAAAGCCCACCAGGTTGGCCAGCTGGCAGGTCTGAGTCATATGTTGCAGCCGGTACTGCTGTCGGACTAAACACTCTCACTATTCAAGTAAGCTTGGGAATTTTATTTCTGCGAGCTCCCTGACAACGCGCAACATTCAAAGTTACGAATAGAAGTTGGCGTACAGGCAAAAACCCAAATTACAAGGTGAAATCTCCCCAACATGAGTACATTTCCGAAAATAGGGTGAGTTGGTACAATTGTTCCACATACCCAATTACAGGAGTAGCCCTGCTTGCCACTGAACACGTAACTCATAATGTATGAATGCATTTATTATTCGAAATTTTATTCAAACCAAGATTATCCGATCAACCAATGCTGTTATATTTGAAGGGTCGTGAAAATACGACTTGAAAGACCTCGGCCTGAAGTGGACTTTAGAGTCTCGTTTTTCTGACCTTGATTTTGGATTTGGCCTGGGGTTGGAGTCCAACAGTGATTAAAAATAGAGCTATTCTGGGGGCAAAATGTCAAATCCCATGATACGTACGACCAGTGTGTTTCTTGGAGAACTCGTGGCTGGTCTGCACCGCGATCGTTACATTCTGGTCCATACTCTTCTGGAACCTGCTGAAGTTGTCATGCTGCTTCTCACTGTGACGGCAAAAAGAGAAACAAAGGCAAGAGATTAAATCTAGTGAAATCTGACAAATCTCAGATATTTCAACGTGGCTTATAGAAAGATTTTGCAGGACTGAGGAAGGCACCTTCGAGCAACTGTAAGTTATGTGGGACTACATTATCCAGAGGAAGTTCTGGTGTCACAAATGTGGCGCTGGATTACTGTGCAGAGTGAAGGACAAAGGGAGATTTTGAGACTTCCAAACAAAAAGTTTTAGGAGTTTGGATTCAAGTCTCATCAACGTGCAAGCTTAAAGTGGAGGCTAATGGTGTAAAGAACTGTAAAGTCACTTCCGAATTATTTTCTAGTTTGCCACAACGGATTCCCTCTGCTTTTGAATAAAAATTACTGATATTACACAACAGAGATGCTCCAGTGGTCCTTGTTTTTTAGAATAAAGTCTAAATTGATGGAGTTTTTGACACTTTACATGCACTCCAGCTGTGACATTTTGAGGTGTCTCAAGGATAGTCCAACATAATACGAGATCACTAAAACTGAATGCTAAACTAAGCCATGTCCAACTACCTGGCTATGGCTAAAAAATAATACGCCTGCCTATGGAGGCTACTGGCTATCGGCTACAGATCCGTTCCCATGCATGCGTGTGATAGCCAGCCGTAGCTGCGTAATTGGGACGCGGTGCTGTCAACTTACACAACAGCTATTTCTATAGGTTTCTCAGGGGCTTGGATGACCTGTAGGAAAGCTGCTCCCACGTGCTCGTCTTTCTCTGCTTTTCGCTTGCCTTGCTTCCATTTCTGTTGGTTGTTCACAAGTGAATGTGGAAGAGGTGAGAGATAAAAAGGTAATTTTTTTTTAGTTTTTGCTAAAGAAAAAACACTGAGAGGTAATACGCAAATGATGAATTATACAATGAAATTAAGAGCGAGTCACAGCGTGGCTTAAGGCTGGTCTATCGTCAGTTGCGCAGCTGAAAAATTGAAACCCAATCATCCTACATGTACTGTACATATGGTTCACAGCTGTCCTTGAAGTGCTAACAACCAGTCACCAAAGAACACTAGTGGTGTTGCTAGCAGAGTTTAAATGACTGAACTTTAACAAGGTCACTGACCTTACCTTTATAGGATCGTTACGCTTAATTGAAATTTGCCCAAGTTATGCACAGCTTGCACCCTCGATGCACAAATATCACTCAATGACTACGGACTGCCCCAAAAGATGTAGTGTCGAGTGATTATCAGCGTCCGGCATTCACCATCGTGAAACCAACCATGACCCGGCGTTATATGCCTAGATAGATGTGCAATATCATGACTAACGGCTGACGTGAACATAGTGACAGACCCCAAGCCCACCAAAAAGTCAGGAAGACTGCTCCTACTGCTACAGTCCTTGGTAAGCAAGGTAAGATAGAAAGTTGACATCGGCAATAAAGTGCAGGACTCAGCATTGGCTTTTTCAAAGAGATCTGAATTCAAATAGCGAGGTTGCCAATTCAGCATCTTCTGAAGGGAAACAGACCCCTTGGCCCACTGGGCAGTGTACAGCCCAAAACTGCTATGTTCTTTCTGAATTCACCAGTGAATAAATGCAAAATACATGTAAAAACAATGTCGACACAGGTGTTAGCCTGTACGCCCCTAACCCCAGGCCAAACTAGAAAGGGGGAAATATCAAGACACAAACCTTGTCATCGGTGCAGGAAAGGAAATGCCTGAAGACGTCCGCCTGGCCGATGACTGGATGGGAGCCCATCCTATTCATCCATCTCTGGAGTTGCTCCATTCGCTTCTCGATGAATGCCTCCTCATATCGCCCTGCCCAGAAAGGACAGATCTTGTTAGAAGGGGAGTAAATTCCGGGAAGACGGGGGAGGAATACCCCCCACCCATCCCTTTGAAACAGAGGGATGAGTGATTCGACACATGTATAAACATTACTGAAGCTGGTAAAACTCTTAGATGCAACCTTTGTGGCTAACAATCTACGAATCAAGTACTTCTTTTAACCCTCTACCTAAACGACAAGTGCCATAATCACCGACAAACAACAGTCAATACGGTATTGGAATAAATCACTGTAAAGTTTTAAGTAGCAGCCAAGACACACTTGCAAAGTAACAACCTATGATAAAGATATCAATTCACGCCCAAAATATTCGGTTAATCAGTTACCCGATTAACTGGAAAGTCCCAGCACTAAATGTGTAGCACCTTACCTGTCACTTGCTTGTCTGGTAATGGCGGTATGCATACAAATGTGAACTTCTCCACCAGTCTCTCGTATAACCAGTCAAAATGTTTATATCTCCTACTGACCTGAATGCCTGTATCCTGTTATCAACACAAACGGACAATGATTACCCTACGTAAGAAATGGTAGAACCAATTAACTATGCAAAATGCCCCTTACATTTAGGCTGGACAATACCATTTCCTCAGACTGGGTTAGATCTCACGTGCAACACAGCTATAAACATGCACTATCAAAATATGATCACAGATAAACCTAGCAAAATAGCTAAGACAAATTTCTTTGAACTAATCACGGCAGGAAGATAACATTTCTTTACTCAGTAAATTTCAATTTCTTGTACTTTTTCCTATGTTGATTGATCATCCGTCTTAAAGACAAGATCAAAATAATGACGCACCCCCCCCACTCACCACAGAAAAATTCCTGAGTTCATCTTGTGTACCCCACATGCACAATGGGACTATCCATTATCAGAAAAATACCAATGAAAGCTGGGACAAACCACTGTCTTACCGAGGGGGTGATCTGGTATGCAATAAAGCTTTTGATTCCCTTCATCTTTGTCTCCTTCTTTGGGTTCTTGATTTCAATGGCAGGCAATCTACCGGGATCTTCCCACACCGGCCCATCATTGGTTTCCTAATGGTCAGAAACAAGAGAAATTTCCGCACAATAAATATTTCAAAACAGGTGTTTTGTTATCAACGACTGCATCACCTAAACTTACATGTGCCTTCACCACTTGGAATTTAGATTCCCGATCTTTTTTCGTCGAGCAGATTTTGCACATGCGAACCATTCTGCCAGACCAACTGTGCTGTCGGTGTCCAGACCTCGGTCTTGGATTCTTCTGCCCATTGCATTCTGCCAGTCTACACTTTCCCTTGGCTACACTGTTGCCGAATCATCATCCCCCCGTGCACAACTGTGAATACAGATGAATCCATTGTCTACTGTCCCTCATTTCCTTCTCTGCCCAATCCCCACCACTGGGAAACAATAAAGCATTGGCAATGCGAGGGGGTAGCAAAGGGGGCTGCTTGCCCCCCTCTCCCACCCCCTCCCCCAGCCCCCTCCCCCGGAAATAAAATGAAAAAAAAATACAAATGAAAGAATGGTAAAAAGTGAAAGACATGAAAAGACAACGAAAAAGAGACGAAAATCAACAACTTCCTTGGATATAAAAAATGACTATCTGTACATTGACGCCTTTCCATTCATACGACTAGTTCATTGCCGACTCAGTGCTTTACCGCCCTCCCTACCCCCATGGAAATGTCCCCCCCCCCCCAAAAAAAGTGCTTTGCACCCCCTGCAAAAATCCTGGCCTTGCCCAAGCCAACGTAGTAAGGATGAGTACAACTCACCACAATTCTGATTTCCACATTTGGTGAGAAGCCTTTCTTGGCTCCGGCCCCGAGTAAGTAGGCCTCTCCGCCCGACTTGGCAAACATTGAAAATCGACTGCAAGGAGGGAACACCACATACTAGGTTAAAATTGTGACTAGAAAAACTAGAAAATGCAGGGACAAAATGGATAGGGTTCGGATTATGGGATAATTGGATGATCCGTCATTCTGAGGAGGGGGCATCACATCTACTACAAAGTGAACTTAACCCTAACAGTCCCAAATTTTCCAATTTCAATATGATTTTACATGCACCATAGGGGGTTAGGGTTAATCAACGATGCCATACATGAAACATACAGCGGAGAGAATGTAACAATGACAATGCTGTGAATTTTCAGGGCTTTTAATAGAAAACGATGGATGACTTCTATTACTCTAAGTGATGATTACATGTAAAGGAACTTCGCACTCCATCTTCCTGTATGTTGTGCTCAAATATAACAAACCCGTAATGGTCCAAAAACCTCTGAAAAAAAAAAACAATTTGGGGTCTAAAATTCTAAAATTTGGAAAGAGTTGCAATCAAAACCCCAAAATGGTCCTACAATTCCAAATGCAAGATGTTGATGGGAAAAGAATGCTGCTGGCATTGGTGAAAATTGGTGGGGCTGTAACAATAAGATTTCTCTGGGTAGATGCAAAACTGGACTTTGATGGAATACCGTACCAGGTACATACATGTAGATGGGTTTTTTCTGTAGTGAAATGTAACAGGTAAATACATTTACTGTTTCATTTTTTTCCCCTAAGTTTTGTGAGTCGCTACCTGGCAAAATTCTTTTTGACGGTGCCCGTGGTTTTGGCCGACATGTCGCTGTTGCGCTGCTTGTACTGTCGGTTGGGTGGGGACAGGCCGTAACTGCCTGAGCCATTGACGGCCGGATCCTGGAGAAGTGAAACAAAAGCATTTCATTTCTGATTTTTCTTGTGGTACATGTACCAGTTGTTTCGGATTTACGGGATGCAGAACAGGGATTGTTTCTCGCAGCAGCAATGTTAAATGTATTTTTTTTGCCTCACCTGCACAGCAAATGTTTCTCTGCTTCCAAACAAACAGGTAGAATTACAGGAATTTTCTCCCATTTTTAAAAGAGATACATGTCTTCTTTCAAAGCAGAGTTCCTCATTTTGAAATGGAGCTTCCCGTGTGATTTGAAGCAGAATTCCCCGTTTTTCAAAATGGAATTCCTTCTTCGAATTGAAACTTCTCTTTCAGAAACAGAATATTTAATTTGGGAATAGAACTCCTAAGTTTGAGACAGAATTTCCCTTCTGAAAATATGTGTCAATGCACAGAACTAACTGCCTTGAAGAAGAATGCTGGTATAACAATGGAATTGCCCCCAAAAAACTCAATCCCTTGCACAATGCAAAGCACTTTGTGGTTTCGTTTCTCTGAATTTGTAAGCAAAACTGTCAGACGGAGAAACTGTTCAAAACATCCCACAATAACATCCGCTACTACAGAATGAAACCAGTATTATTTCTACACCGACTTAATGCTTAAAACAGTAATTGGCAAAATACAATTACTGTATCAACCTGAAATTGAAACTTGCTATTGTATTGTTAAGAGTCTGCTCTACAAATACGCCTACCCTCTTTTGTCCTGGGGCTAATTTCATAGCGCTGCTTAAGCCAAAAATTTGTTTGAGTGCCAAGAAACCTTGCTTGACAAATCAGCCAGCCAGCCAAAACTTCTTGTGATGTACAGAATATTGTTTTGGAATGATCTTTACCTGTCTTTTGGTTAGTTGGTGAGCTGGTAACCTTTGTTTATTAAGCAAGGTTTTTTCGTGCTTAAGCAAATTCTGTGCTCAAGCAGCTCTATGAAACTGGCCCCTGGACTCTCAAACTGATCTCCAAGCAAAACTGTATGAATTGGTTGTCCTGTGACCCACTTGGAGAATTTCAGCCAACCCTAGAGTGTAACTTCTACTCTTGTTTTTTCATCCGGTGATTTGCAGCCATGACTAGTCAGTGATGTAGAAAAAAAGCCAACTGGTACTGGCTTATGTATGTGCATATAAGGATTGCACATTTGAGCCAAAGTTGAATTACACCCGCAAATGAAGTTGCAAGTGACAGGGGTCAGCAGTGCCAAAGGAATGCCTCGGTCACTTTTGCGGGGACAGCTTACGAACATGAGACTGCATGTACAGTACAGGTGACTCGCGTTTGATTTGAAATGGCTGTGATTACCGAAATACTAGTAGCAAAAGGTGTCAATGGGGCCAAAAAATGGGACTTGACCAGCAGCTTTCATCCAAATGAATCCGAGACATGAAACAAACCAGTTCATTCTCAGCAGTCAGCAAGTTCAACCTACGGTAATCTCAGCCAGTTCAAGTGTATTTCAAAAAGGAAAGGTCATTTGAGATTCGAACATCTGGCATCACTCCAGTCTCAACTTGTTCAGTGTGGTTCAGTTCGCGTACGGTCGAGCAGATAGGGTCAGACAACATAGATTCATGTTGTAGACAATCTAGAATTAAATGGAATATATCTGAAAATAAGAACGTGTCCATATGAATTGGAAGTTTACTTGTATATGCACCCAAATGACAAAGCTCACCATGTGAAGGGTTTTCGCAGATTGCATCACATACATGTATAACAAGAACCTCTTGGAGAATTAAAAGCATTTGCAAACTCCATGATTCCATGCAAGTACTGGTGCAAGGTGCATATAAACCAACACTGTGATGAGGTTAAAAAGAAATACAAGACAAACAGCATGCTACGTACATCGCACACGCACATGTACAGCGCTCATGCATTTTGGCACATGTACATGAACACACAAGAGAATATGCATGCAAACACAACAATGCAAAATCCAAAAGGAACACTGTGGTGTCCTGACTCCTCAACCTGGATTGAAGGACCGAGGCTTCTGGCTTGCCTTGCAGATGCACTGAACACTTCGACTTGATTCCGTCCAAATTTTAGTGCCCACGGACGCTTTCTAATTCTGAACACCAGGAATTACCAGTACGGTAGGTGACGTGGTGGGACGAAGGGGGCGGCGAGAGAATGCACACATCCTTGTTCCATAGTTGTGGGGACAAACACAAGATATTGCAGGGACTGAAAAGATTACGGGGACAGACTAACATCCCCAAAACGCAGTCCTAATTTGACTAACAAAAGAAATGGTCCCCTTAAGCCGCTGAAGGTGTGCCCACAACTGCACATACATGTACATGTACATGTATGTCCATGTATACCCTTGATTTGGTGACCTTCAGATCAACTCCAGTTTCAGGTCGGCAAATGTCCCCTGTTTGTGTTGGTAATGCAATATTTGCCTTAGAGAATGTCAAAGTGGTTCCTCTCCCTTCTTGGTTCGGAGACATCATAAACTGGCATGGAGGCCAACAAACTGCTTCAGGTGAAGGAAGTGAGACGTCACAAATTTCCTCAAGGATTTTCTAAATTCTTTTCTGAGAGGATGGCATGAGAAAAGGATGGCAAAAGTTAGAAGCCACACAAAAGGATACAAGGAAACATTTACAGATGTTCACGTGTAAAGACTGTTAGGCTTTTCCAGCCATCTTCTAGCAAAAGGGAATTTAACAAAGACGGAAGAAGTGGCAAAATATTTGTTTCACGAACAGCACAAGAAAAAGATGGTAAACTTGAAGTCACAAACTCAAGATTATCAAAGCAAGAAGGCAAATCCTTGACAGATTCTCCAACCATTGTCCAAATATTTTTCCAACCTGGAGGCAAGAGAAGAAGCAGTCAGAACCTTGGGATTCTCAACCTGTTTTCCCCATTTCAAAAACCGTACATATGCAGAGAATGAGCACTCTTGAGTGTTTCCTTGACACGATGCGCAAATTCTGTTCAATGCATTCCGAGGTCATGCAGTCCGTTCTGGAGATCTTAAAAACAAAATTTCGGGAGTTGCCACAATGCACACTACCAGGCATGCAGACGAGTCCGTCCCACCACTCACGTGATGTCCCGGCCCAAACTCCTCGTCCGACTCATCATAAGTGCTGGTGCTGTCGGCACGCACCATCTCCCGCCCCCTGTATCCCACCCTGGTGCTGTCAGTGGAAATTTGCTGCTGCTGCTGCTGCTGGCTGTGGCGGCCGCCGGCCGGAGCCGGGGGGAGTTCCAGTGGGCGGTTAGGTAGCATGATACGGAGGCTGCCTGTCCCACCAGTGCTGCCCTGTCGCTGCTGGAAGGTGGACATCTTGCCGTGGTGGAAAGAGCGGCTCTTGCCGATGCCCGCCACCTGCCGGGCATTGCAGTATGTGGGGTCCGAGGACGAGGTGGTCTCGGGGTCGCTAGAACGGTCCTGCGTGCTGGACCCCCTCCGGGGGCCGGGGACCGTGTTAGCCTGGAAGGGTTTCTTGATGCCCTTAGGCTGGGAGCGATACTTCTTCTGCTGCTGTTGCTGATTGTGTTGATCGTTCTGTTGCTGGATTGAAACACACGTACTCATATCATGCAAAGTCGCATGAAGAGTGAAACGTGTCTAAGCCACATTTACGTGTTTACAGCTAAACGCTCGTTCTTTGAGCCCAAACTTCTTGCCAATCGGCTAGGCCTGCCACTACCATCCAGACAGAGTATACTAAAGGATGTACATTTATGTAAGAGCATCCAGGCACTGACTGCTTACAGAGTGAGGACACAGGGTGCACCGGATGATAAGGAATTCCAATGTATCTGCTTAAAATTTAAACTTCTTATTCTTAGCTGGGAGTGCATGGTTGTCCCTCCCTTCTGTCAGGTACAGAAAGGTTCCATGTCCCGGTAATGTGGGGTGCATTCTCTAAGGCAAAATGACGTCACACTTCGTTCAAACATTTGCCAGGCTGGGACGTCCAGAATTTTTGTTTTTCATCTGGATCCAGTTTCATAGCGGCGCTAAGCTCACAATTTTATGCTTTTTATTTAACAGAGACAGTAAGCAGCAAGCACGGCAAAAAGCATGCTTACCCTATTGGAGGAAATATTCACTTTACGAATTAATGGAAATCTCTATGCGTGTGCAACCGTAAGCACAACCAGGCCAAGCAACGCCATGAAATAGCGCTTAAGGATTGCGAATTTTTCTGCTATCGTAAGCATACCTTTTCGGCTTTAGCAATTCATGATTGAGCCCTGGCTTCCATACAAAAATGCATGTTCCAACAAAGCGTGACGTCATTCAATTTGTGGGCTGTAGTGGTGAGTCTCGGTAGATGGAGTCCGGTACAGCAAAAGCTACACGTACAGGATTCAACAATCACTGGTGCATGGAAAAAACCTACACTTCAAAAAAAACCTGGGTGTTACGTTTAACACCCCCGGTGTCATCAGCGGTGTTATCGTGCCGACACTTTCAACAGGTGTTAAAATTTTTGGTGTTATTTCAACACTGTGGGTGTTATTTTTTAACAGTGTAAAACTTGTACATGTACATGTAGGTGTGTAAAGTCACACCAGCAGTGTTAAAGTAACACATTATGGTGTGGTCATCTGATAACACCAAAAGTGTTGTTTTAACACCAGTTTTTGCAGTGTAGAGAACAGATGAAATTGGTGTAAAAAGGTACATAACACTAGAGGTATCATGTCACCAAGCTAGAGGGAAAATGTTGCAGTAACCTACGTGTAGTTGGTCTTGGCTAAGACACACCAACACCAAACTGCAAACACCAGAAGACGCTGAATGACACCATGCAGATCCAAAGTTCACAGGTGTAACAGGGTGTTAAGATCAAACAACCATACAGGTGACACCATGGGGAAGAGTGGATTTTTTTTTTTTTTTTACCTGTGGAAGTCCCTGCTCGTTATAATAGGCATTGGGGTCCCCTTCTGTATAGTCCTGGGTACACACGAGCATCGATACAGACAGGAAAAATATATTTATCAGGTCTAAAAGAAAGAGAATGATCTTTTTGTAAGGCTGGACCTATCAAAGAGCGCCTTTTTTGTACCCAAGCACGTCCCTTTTGGGCCGACACACCACAACTGCAAACCCTGTGGCGTGGAGTGTGACATGCAATTAGCTTTAACCTGAATGGGCACACAGCCAGGAACCTGGGGCCAATTTCACAGAGCTACTTAATCACAAAATTTGCTTAAGTGTGAAAAAACCTTGCTTGACACATCAGGTTACCAGCCAAAGTCCATGTGATGTATATTGGTTTGGAATGGTACTCGCCTGTCTTTTGGTTGGCATGACAATCACATAGATTGTGAGCTGGTAACCTTTGTTTTTTCCGCAAGGTTTTTTGTGCTTCAGCAAATTTTGTGCTTAAGCAGGTCTATTAAATTGGCCCCAGAAGTATACCAAGGCAGAAATGGCATTTAAGCGTCAGCCCAACCTTTTTGATGTTTTGTTGCAGGTGAGGGCAGCACTTGTACATGGAACCTGTCAGACCTGGATCCCCTTCATTGAAACCATGTGTTACCAAAAAAATCAATTCATTTCGAATTTGGTACCAAGCGCATGAACTCAACTGTGTATTGAACACAAGATGGCATGTTTCTAAGCAACAATGATGCCCCTTTGGTGGGGACACACCACCCAAGCACACAGGTTCACATGTGTGGCCAACTTCTGCAGGAATGTTCACATGTGCTGGGTGCCCAGTTGAAATGATCCCTACCAGCCTTTCTCTTCTCTGCCACTTGAGGGGGTGCTTCTAAACAGAGCACAGAATAAACTGAATTGAATAAGATACGCATGGTACGAATATATGAAATGTATGCAAATACTCACAGGTGCAGACTGGTTGTCATCCCAGTCATCGTCGTCGTCCCAATCATCCTCGTTCCCAACAGAGTCCTGATGCTGAATGCCCGAAGAGCTGACCGCCTGAGACAGAGGTTGAGAGTGACAAAAATCAAGTGAAAGTGGAGACCCTGGGGAGAATCTGCATTGACCTTTGACCTATGTTAAGATCATCGTACATAATGTACATAGGAAGTTAAATGAACGTCATGACTTCCTGATAACATGATATTAATTTACCACTGAAGAAAATTAACGATTCCATTTTCCTCAAATATGGAAAGAAATATTTTCCGTACATTTCTGACAGCAAAACAGGAATAAACCTTACAAAAACAAAACTGGGGTACGGTTTCACTCCTGTTTTCACGGCTAATTAGATACAGGTACATGTATGTTGCAATGAGTTTAGACAATTAATAGCAAAGCTGTGATACTGAACAGCGTGCATTGTGGTGTCTTGCTTTAAACAATATAAAGAAAAAAAAAATCTTTTTTTTTCTTTGGTTTTTTAGTAAATAGGTCTAGCAAAGCTTTCATGAGACCGTGGAGAGATGGCAACATCATGTAGATGATGAATAATTTAAATTAGAAAATGAGAGTGTAGTTGGCGACTAACATCAGCAAAGAGCAAGTTCCCACAATAAATCATTGTGAACTATAGCTTGACTAACACTGCCCAAATGATGGACGGTTTGGCCTATCCAGTTGACCATTTGGGACCAGGCACAGGGGCATGGTTGCACGGCTTGCCCAAAAATGCACCCATGAAAAGAAGGTCCCAGACTCAGTACAATGCAAATTCATACAATGCAACAAAACCAAAAGGGATGATAAATGCCTTTCTGATTTTCTGGCAAGGAACTGGAGATTCTGGGAGAAAATAAGAAAATTCAAAACTTTTGAAAGCCTTGAACATTTATCTCTAATGCACAATTTTGTAGTCACAAAGAAATGGGAAACCAGCTGATCTGAGGAAAATGTTGTGCCTGGATTTAAAACCGTACTGGTAAAAATGCTTCATCCAAAGTAACAAAATTAATGGGCCGTACTGGATGATGACAGTAGACAAATGTGCCACAGACCTTATCCACAGGGGCAACCAGTTTTCATCTCGTTCCCTGCATTTATCATATTCACAGTAATACACGGTGGTGCCAGACTATTTTGGGTTCCAAACCTCACTTTCGTTTTTTTTAAAGTGGTTTGAAACATTTTGATCATTGATCATAAATTTTAAACTGGCATTACATTGTAAATTGTGATGATCTTCTATTTCTTTGCTTTCACTTTTATTCTGTTCCCAAAGAAAAAGTTAACGTCCATTTCAAATTAACACAGCCGACAAGCCTCAGAATTAACGCTTACCCACTTACTGGCAGTAAGTGGATTTTCACAAGCGGTAATTGAATTTCAAAATGGGTGAGTTGCTGGGTAAGTGTGAATAAAAGCCATGGTGGAGATTGAGTGAAATTAATGATGAATACACGTATGAATAAATCATGTATAAACAGAGAAAAACTTGTGTGGATGTTTCTATTTTCCCTTAGCTCCTGTAACTTATTCACTCCGGGTTTCACACGGACCTCCGGGCCTGAAACAAAGCTAAATTGTTTACACTGCAATCTGCCATCCCGTACTGTACATAGGATTGTTCAGACACCAGACAGCAATGCACGTGACTGAATCTACTGCATGTACGTGAACAGTACGTGCGTAAAGTGATATGGATCTGTGTCGCTTGAAGTACAAGCCTTAAACAGCATCCTGAGACCATCCAGTCATTGCGTTGTGATTGGCTGCCAATGACACATCAATATTCATACATGTGTAAGTGGGACTCATAACAGCGTGAGCAGAAGTACAAGTAGTGACGAACAATCTCCACTATAACTCACAGTAGCAGACATTTCACTGTGCATTTACGGCTTGAAATAAAGCTAGTTCATTTTCGCTTTCGCCAATAAAGAGTTTCGTGACAGCTGGTACAGGGTGCAAAAACATATTGTGTCAATTGTCTTCGTGTGGGTTTTAAGTACTTTGTGTGCATCGTTTTGTACGAGCTTTCAAATAATTTTTGGACATTATCTCATCGAGATACATGTACAGTCCATCACTAATGTACATGTACAAGTGTCCGAAGAGGCCCTTACCCAACGTATATTAATATGCACTGCATGCTCCGTGCTTGTCTAGTGCAGATGTTTTAACCACTCGACCACCGAGCTTGCCGGGGTTGGCTGGCCGGTCCGAGTCAAGTGAAGCAGAGAGTACCGCAAACTGTTTTCAAGATGTATTTTTGCATTGGGGAGATGTTGATTTATATAACGGGTTTTGGCTTACCCAACATATATTAATAAGCACTGTATGCTCAGTGCTTGTCCAAGAGCTTGCGAAAAAAAACTCACAAGCTTACTCAGGTGGGACAAAACCCGTTATATAAATTAACATCTCCCCAACGAAAAAAAAAATACCTCTTGAAAAAAAAAATACATCTTGAAAATTGTCCGAAGAGGCTCCGACTTGGATACAATCTTTGACAAGACCGATCCTAAAGTTACGAATCCGCAGAAAAAACAGTGGATGGAATACACCACAGACCATCAAAATCACTTAATTAAAAAAAAAAATTCCCCCAACCCAAAATTGTTTAACCCAACACTTTGGAAGAAAAACAAAAGACACTTTTTTCAATGTACAAGGACATGTAATAGGAAGCACAACTATTATTTTGTTTGGCCTAATCTAACATTAAATAAACTGGTAAGTCATTTTTAGGAATGGGTAAGCGGAAGTCAGATGTGGGTACGTGGTGGGTAAATGAAAAAAAAGTTAAATTCGAGGCTTGGTTGCCAACCTGTGAATGAAGCCTATTGCTTTCAATGATAAATCGGATGCCATCAAGTGTTTCAAGGGGTGGGTTCCCAAACAGTGGCTCTAAATCCCTTTCCTAAGTCGGCTTCAACTCTCCCATTTAGTTCAGTTTTGAGCTCCTCAAGTTAAACTCGACTTCACCGTTCTGTCTGAAACTGAGACATCAAATGGTCCGATACAAGGCCAAAAACTTAAACAAATTTCATTTGGATCAAAAGGCAAATACTGGAAAGTGACTCTGGATTCGCAGCTGAAACCAGGCATCTGACAGAGCTGCATGTAAGAGTCGGATAAATGCCCAGATCTCCCTGTCAGCAAGATGACGTCCGATTCCCAATGTGGACCATGGTACAAAGTTAGGGTCCATTTGGGGATGAGATGTTGATGACTGATGCGAGGAGTAAATAAGTCCCAACGGTTTAATACCCCTTGTTGCTCTTGTTCCAGCTTGTCCCACGGATCGTCGGAGGCGGAGAAGGGCTATATTCATAGGATGATTAAAAGCAAAACCTACTGGACTAGAGGCAATAAAATACGTGCAGCAGCCACATGTACAATGAATGGGACATGAATACCCTACATGTATCCTTTGCCAAGTTGACTTGTATCGCGCACTACGTGTATAGGTGACCCACCATCCCAAAGCCAGGCTGAAGTCAGTAACTTCATAACCCTAAAATAGTGGAACTTCCTCTGTTCAGATTTTGATGGGAGTTTTACAGCTATCTCTACCCGTAAGAAGCTTACTGCAGACAGAATTTGGATTTAACAAGGATCACTTTAAAGTGCAAAAACAAAGCTGAAGAAGAGGAATTGTCCAACGTCACAAGTATCGACTTCAGCCTGGTTTTGGGATGGTGTGCTTTCAGAGGGCTTGTGGGGGGAAAATTTATCGGGTTTGCTAGCTTGGGACTTGAACCTATAACCTCTTGCTTAATGATGAAAGGCAAGATAAATATTCCAATTTACATCTCCTTTCTTCAGAGATGCAAATTTCTATGAAGGGTTAACAACAAAAACTCATGTTTTGTTCATAAGTCAAGTTTTAAAGATCAGCTGAGAATTCAAAGAAACGCAAAGGCAAAACGAATGTGATGTCACGAAACACTTGATTCAGCATTCGTTGAAGTTGCAGTTCGTCTCGCTGTTGAAAAGCTTCGGCGTAAAGTCTCGCTTAGCAAAGTCTCGTAAATTTGCACAAAGTTGCGCTCGCTTTATTAACCAGGCTGCAGCCCCGTCCATGAGTCCACGTATCATCACTTTCGGTAACAGCACTAACTTTGCTCTCTGGTAGCTGTACCACTTGGCCCCCAAAAAAGACTCAGACATAATTACCATGTAAGCTGCATGTATAAAATCCCGGGGCCCAACTTCATAGACGTGCTAGGCACAATATGACTGCAACACAAATTTATGTGGCAAGCAAAAACTGCCAACGCCCTGGAGCCAATTTCATAGAGCTGCTTAAGCACAAAATTAACGCAAGCAGGAAAAACTTTGCTTAATAAACAAAGATACCAGCTCAAACTCTATGTGATTGTCATGCTAACAGCTAAATACAATCCCAAAACAATATACATCACAAAGAGTTTTGGCTAGTTACTTGATTTATCAAGCAAGGTTTTTTCCGACTTAAGCAAATTGTGTGCTTAAGCAGCTCTGTGAAATTGGCCCCTGTTGTAAGATAAATGTACAGATACGATGCATAACATTTTAGCCAGTCACCTACATGTACTCTTGAAGAGCAAATGTTTTCCTTCCTTAAGTAGGAAATATCTGTGCTTAGAGGGTCTATGAAATTGGCCAAAGTTGACTGTAAATATTGCTCCTCAAAAATGGAGAGAGGGGTGTGATCCCCAGAAGCCACTGTTACCGAGTTAGTTCCTGGTGGGGGCGGTGGTGGTTGATCAGGTTGGTCCCAGGAATCAGCTCCAGAAGCGCCCTATATACACAATGTATACATTCACAATAGACCGGTACTGGGTACCTACACGTAAATGTATACTAAACAACAAACAGAAATCAAGCTCCTTCCATATTTGTGGTTTTGGCTTCGTCTTTCTACATGTACACGGGTAATTCCAGAAATTAGGGTTTCAAAAGTGTGACATTTTTGTGTCCCTGTGACACCTGACCTTTGTTATTTGATATGGAAAATATTGCCCGGATTGATTTCAAACTACTACAATTTGTTTGGCAGGTAATCTGCATTAGTTCATCACTCTTGAAAATTAGAAAATGTGTTCGGAACTCAAAAAATCATATGTCAGATCTGACAGGGACGCAAAAGAAAATCGACTCCTTACTTCTGGAATTACCTACATACAAAATTCAATAAATTTTTGAGATTGTTGGAGGCAAAGCATGTTTTTTTGTAAGCAAGAACTATCTACTACTAGAAATTGCCATTTGTTCAAATACAGTACTTCATACATTTGTTACAGGTGAGGACTTATCCACCAAGTACGGAAAATCCATGTACAGTTGTACATGTATTTGCTCAGCAAAACTGGGTTACCAGCCTAAAACATCATTGGATACTGTGCACGATATGGGACCGATGGGTACCCTCCCACATGTCCAATCCCTATACACATTCTACACTAATGTTACCTAACACATCCCCCCTAAAGTCTGTAAAGTATTCCAGAGATTCCGATCAAACAACGACCAACACAAAGGCGGGGGGGGGCTTCTCTCCGCCCCATATCTTGCATCATAAGCTCTTTTGTGTACATTTCTTGTGGCTGGCTCCCAGCTGAGTTTTGCGGAGCAGATAAATCCAAACTGTATGAAACTGGGCCTTGGTAAGGTCCTGAAATTTTCATAGAGAATGAATCGCGCTGACATTTTGTGCATTTCGTGGCAGACACACAGAACTTTTTATAAAAATGAAAAACGGCGCTGCAAATACGACCATGGGGAGAAAGTCGACAACTCACAATGAATCACCAAAAAGTGTTGACAACCGCAAATACATCATTGAAGAAAGCTATCAACCCATAATACAACGAATACACCATTGGAAAGTAATGCACACAAGTGATCCAATATTATACGCAAATCATGTACAAATGTACATGAGCCAAACATAACATGAAATTAAGATAACGTCATTACCGACTCAAAAGTGGGCGGAGCTGGTAGATCCCTTACATCCTGCTGGCTCATCTGAGAGGAGAGAAGTGTTGGTGTATTGAAATAGAGGAAGTCATATAAAGTTCCATGGCGCAAAAATGTGACAGATTGACCGATCAATAAATGTACAGTGCAGTGGCAAAATGTCCTGATCTGAAAACTTGATGTTGGAACTGAACATACATGAACATGTACAGTGCATGAACATGCATGTATACCGGCTCGTGTACTGGTGATTTTCAATTTTCTAATGGATAAGCAACAAGTGCTCACATGTAATCAACCCACAGTGTGATGGACGCTGGTGTACCATGTACATGTTCAGTAGTATGTGATATAAACAAGCTGCATGGACAATGCATAATTCGTGCTACTTGCGACATACGGGTAAAGAAATGCATGTAGGGGAGTGAATGATCAGTGGGTTATCTAGTAATCTACAAGCCTCGTCCAAGTGAATAGCTGGGGCTAAGAGTCACATACGTCTATGGGAAGTGGCTTCAGTGGCAAGCCTGCGACTTCCATAGAGGTACATATGATTACCAGCCACAGCCGTAACTTTTGGACACAGCCTAATGATGAGGAAAATGGAAAGGGAGTTACATCTACTGATTATTTGTTATTGATTTCAGCTGCATCAAGTGATTATCTTTGATTGTGTTCAACTGTATCAACTGATTATCTCCGCTAGCTTTCAGCGACATCAACTGATTATCTCTGATCACCTTCAGCTGCGTTCACTGATTATCTATGTCTTCAGCTGCATCTACTGAAAATCTTTGTCTTCAGCTGCATCAACTGATTATCTCTGATCGTCTTCAGCTGCATTCGCTGATTATCTGTCTTCAGCTGCATCTACTGAAAATCTTTGTCTTCAGCGACATCAACTGATTATCTCTGATTGTCTTCAGCTGCATTTGCTGATTATCTGTCTTCAGCTGCATCTACTGAAAATCTTTGTCTTCAACTGCATCAACTGATTATCTTTGTCTTCAACTGCATCAACTGATTATCTCTGATCGTCTTCAGCTGCATCAACTGATTATCTTTGTCTTCAGCAACATCTACTGATGATCAAATTTTGATAACAAAACTGAAGACTGTTATACATGTATATACAGGTCAGCGGATGGTTACCTGCCGTGACGGTTGATCTGAATGTAATTCCAGACGAGCATAATTGATCAGTAATCATCACTCATTCGCTGAAGTGTAAGAGGACCTGATCTTGGGCTGGTCAGTCGGTGATGTCATTTATGTTAATGTTAAGGATGCTGGATTGGGAGGAAAATGGGTACGATGGAAAAGGAAACTATTTTGAATTATTTTAACTGTTTACTGATTTTAAGGGATCATAGAGTTGACACCTGCCACCAGATCCCACAAAATGAGTCTTTTGAGGAGACTTTGGTGTTACACATGTAGTTCACAAAACAAGTGCTCTGTTTTGAAGTATGTAAATGTACCGGGTACATGTACATGCACACATATGTACAGCACATCATTAAGTTTCTTTTGAAATTGGGCACCATACAAGTGAAAATGTGGAGGTTTTCAAAGAAGCTTCTCAAAGTACTCAAAACTCATTCTGCTCAGTTGGGTGACATGTACGTACACTTCTTAAGTCAGGTCAATGATGGGTGAATATGTGATCTATAATGAGGCGCCGAAGGTGACGAAATGGGTAGTACGAGTGGGTTCTACTCATTTTGATGAGAAAATGGTTAATCATCAGGTCATTAAATGAGAGGTATCAGTTATTGATCGCTCTGATGATCGATTACCGAACTAGCTGCTGGAGGGGGTGGAGGTGGGGGCGGGGCATCTTCAGGTGCATTCCAGGTATCCACCATTACCTTTAAGAATGAAAAAAAAACCAGCATTTCCTGTTTCAACTGAATGGACCTTCAAAGAATGAAAAGCTTGATGTCCATGTGTCTATTTCCTGGAATGTACCAGTACATATGTACATTATCCAATACATATGTAGTTCATGTTTTTCTATCCTATGTACCATATTTATTCGTGGGGTCATTTTCACTTTTCAATGTATTCAATTCAGTTGTCACAGTTGGCTCAACTTAAACAAGTACTGTTTTGAAAGGTTTATCACTTTTATAACACTGGGGGCAGCCAGTGGCGCATACATTTTTAGGGGGTGACTGGAAGCCCAAGAATAGGTGGGTGTACCGGGTACTGTAGGCTGTGTACCGGGTACTGTAGGCTGTGTACCGGGTACTGTAGGCTGTGTACCGGGTACTGTAGGCTGTGTACCGGGTACTGTAGACTGTGTACTGGGTACTGTACATCTCAAGCTTTCAACTGAAGAGGGACACTGACTTCTGCTTCGAGTACGGTGTCTCAGCGCCCCACCCCCTCTAAGCCACTGCACTTTTGTATTGGCATCGTGTCAAGTGTCGAGCCCACTGTCTGCATTAACCGCTGAACGTGAGTGTGGAATAGGAAGTGCCATGCGCATTCTACAGTGCTGAAAAACGAATAGGTTTCAGAGTAGAGAAGGAAAGGTTGAGGGCCCGACATATACAATGTATCACAAGCACCGCACTGACTGGTACTGGTGTTTCCACGGCCGAGGCCTTTCCTCAAGGGGAAAAAAAGTTGTGAGAGAAAACAGCCTGAAGTTGTTCTGTATACATGTATGTACAGCGGAAGAGTTTTTTTCCTTTTTTTTTTTTAAGTGTTCAGCGTGTACAGTACGTACATACATGTACATCCACATACATACGTATGGTGCACTTGTACTGGCGTGTGACTTGTAAAGTCTTGTTTCTGTAAGAATGACCTTGTTTTTATTGCCACAATTACACTACGTGTGCCTCTTGAAAGACCCCCCCAAAAAATTCCGTTTTCAGGGTTCCCTCTCCACGGGTCCCCGGGGGGGACAAAGACACAAGGCACACGTGCATAATTTTCAGATGCTCGGAGTCTGACTCTGCGGTCTTGAGGGGCACGTTGACTCATACGCAGTCAGGAAATTCTTGGCATCCTGGCCCACGTACGTGCGGTCGTCACGGCGAAACAAATGTACTCTCCCTCCCCTCTTCTTAGGAACTGGTGACAGGGAATGACACCCTTCTATTTAGAGAAACTGCCAGAACGAAGTACAGCGTACATTTGTGGGCACAGACAACCACAACCCGTGTTACACTGCACATGTACAACGTACAGGTACGTGCATGCAGGGCAGGAACTTCACAGAATACCGGTACCTTGATGTCCCTCGTCTTTGCCTCGAGACCCACTGAAATGTTCTCATGTAGGCAAGTTGATTTTCTAATAAAGCAAGTGCCCTCTGCAAAGGGGATATTGCTTTGCCCTTCAAGAACAAAGTTCCTACCCCGCGGTCATGTGCAAGGACTGGACAGTGTACAGTGGTACCCTAAATTTGTTTAATTTCAAGAACCTGGAACACAAAGATGCTTAGGCAGTGTCCTTATTCCTTGGCTGTAGCTTGACTTTACATAACTCGATAGGGAATGGCGGTAGCCACAACCATAGACTCCTGCATAATTTCAAGCCATAGCCAAGCCATTCGGACACAGCCTACGCACAGGAACTTGCTAAGCAAAGAAAATATTTGCTTAGCAAAATTGGGTTACCAGCCACAGTGTCCAGCAATTGATATTTGTTGGCATTGGTTCCCAGCTGATTGTTGCTCGGTATAAAAATTTGCTTAATGACAATATCTTCTCTTTATCAGTCCCATCCTGCCTGGCCACCACACTGTTACTTTATATGGGACGTGAATAATTTGTGGAAATTACACATGTGCAATCATCAGCTTACTGGACAAGTTCAGCTGATTCAGGAAGCTTTAGACAGAAACAGACGCACATTACTTGTTGGTATCAAAATGTTGAACTCATATGTTCTACAATAGATAACATTTGGGACTGTCCCTGCTGGTAGACACGACTGCCCCTCACCAATCTTTCCTGAAATCCGGATTTGCTCCAGGCACAATCGTCCAAAAATAACCAAGAACAGAAGAAAAGGGGTTGGTGCCAAGTCTGTTCCCCCCCCAAAAAAAAACCACTGTGTGTCCAAAAGAAGAAGTTACAATGCACACAATGTCAAATTACCTCATCCATTTTGACCACATCTTCCTCCAGTGCACAATGACAGCAAAACTCGGAAATGACGGGAAGTCAATAAAGAACAAATACATGTAACAGACATTCCAAGTACATGTACATGTACAGTACATGTATGTACAGTAAAGACACATGTACATGTACAGTACATGTATGTACAGTAAAGACACATGTACATGTACAGTACATGTTTGTACAGTAAAGACACATGTACCTCTCAATGCTATAGGGGTTATTCCAGAAATTAGGGGTCAACTTTTTTTTCGCGTCCCTGTCAGATCTGAAATAAGATTTTGTAAGTTCAGAACAAATCTTCTAATTTCAAAGAGTGATGAATTAATGCTAATGACCTGCCAAATAAATACCGGTAGTAATAGTTTGAAATCGATTCCGGCGATATTTCCAAATAACAATGGTCAGATGGAGCAGGGACACAAAAACATCCCACTTTTGGACCCCTAATTTCTGGAATTACCCATAAATATCACAACTGCATACATGTTACATGTACAGATGTAATATCCATAACATTTTTCCATACTGCACAAGCAACAACGGAGTATCAAATTACATGTGCATGTGCGTCCATTGTACAGTGGCGTACACATGTACAATATGACCAGAAACAATTCCCAAGCGTTTGCCTTACTGCCTGCACAAGAGTTTGAAGAATCAGTTTTCAGATATCGTGATTTTTTTCCGAATAATGAAACTGCAACATTGAGTCACTCAAACATGTCGGATTGCGAAACATTCGATTTGTCACCATGATGAACTATTCTAAATGTCCCACGGTACATGTACATTTTACATTTCACTAACAAACATTCATTGTTTGGATAATGTGGCATTTTGTCGGTGACAGCGACGGCATTGGATTCCTTGGCAAGCATTTACTCAAAGGATGACTAGACATGCACCTGGGAGAACGACAGCCTGTAATCTGAGCGTGGACATTCCTTCGTTTTCATGTACACGGTACGTTCATACAGTACAAAACACACTGCAAATCTTTTCAAACACGGAAAAAAAAGGACACAGTTCAAACTGGATCTTAGTTGACAGTTCCACTGACTGTTCCCTCTTCCATTTTGCTGCTGACGGCCCTCACCTTTGACCTTACTCACTGGGGTAATCCACACAAGGTTCACAAGCCCTGCATTACGTGGACCCATTTGGTTCGTAGGTCAACAGTATGTACACGGAATTCATGTGTACAACAATACGAACCTCGTGTTGACCTGACTTAAGGCTGGTTAATGCTGCAGGCCAATACGAAAGTGAAACAAATATGATATCACAAAAAATTTCCAGTGAAATTTCGCGAGTTGAAAATTGTGTTCAACTGTTAACGAATTTGCAATGTGAATATTTGATCTGACGTCACAAGTTCCCGTTCATTTTCGCTTTCACACGAAGTGGTATGAACCAGCCTTTAGTCCACACAAGGTTAACAAAACTTTCATTATTATTTGGACCCATTTGGTTCTTACATACATACTGTACGTGTAGGTTACAGCAAGCACACAGCTTTGTAGGTGTGCATGTAAAACAATAGGCACAGTCAAAGCAATGTCATTCAACCACTTCCGTTCCAGTTCTGTAGACAATGACAAGACAGGATCTCAGACCCCGGTACAGTACCGGTACATAATCAAACTTGACAACGTATAAATAGAAGGTCATTGCCCCACGTTCTACAGAATGAGAAGTCAGCGTAGTCATGTACAATGTACATGTGAGGATGTGAGACTTGCATGTAAAGCAAAACTTTGAACGATACCAACTCCCTGTTAATTTTTCCTATGGACCGTGGGAACCTGGCTCTAGGTATCTGTGGGCAAAGTCCCAAACAATGAGTTAACAATGATTCCTTGGGTGAAGTCAGTCAATCTCACCTTCTAACCACTGTCGGCGAAGGGGAGGGGCCAGAGGGGCAACTGTTCCCCCCCCCTCCTAGGGGAGCATTCCCCCTTCCAATTTTGCAGGTCCTACGTGTACATGTACAATGGGGTGGGGCTTAATAAATCAGCCTAAAAATGGGCCTGTTTGTTTCACACGGATCTGGATCTCAACTGGTGATCTTCACACTGGTTCAACCCTTCCACTTTGCGGGTTTTGGGGTCCATAAACCAACGAAGGATCGCTGATCATGATCCTGATCTGTGTGAAACAAACACAGCCAGTGGCTAATGCCTGATGCTGCTAATAATAACGATAATAACATAGTTTTTATATAGCGCATCACACCAAAGTCTCGATGCGCTTCACAAGAACAAAAATTAAAAGCAATTAATTAATGGAACGGGCAAGTTTTAAGGACTGCTTTAAATTCATTTTCGTTGCTTCTGACAACTGCCCTTTTCTAATTCAAGGTTAGTTTCAAACAGGGGAAGTAGCAAATATCGTACGGGATCAACTGAAACCCCACACAATCATGCTGATGGACTGATATTACCCAACATACATGTACATGAATACGTTATGTAGGTACCAGTACCATATATATATGACACAGCACATTTACATACTGTGCCAGTACGTACACATGTACATGTACATGGTATTTTGACCTTCATGGAACAGCGAGGCTACACTTTTGGGCCGTGTCCGAAACGGGCTTCCAGAGCTACGGCTAGGCCTACTGTCCGCGTGTCTCCACACATTTCCATTGGAGCGAGGACCTAGACCTACATGTAGCTCTAGACAAGAGATTCGGATGGAGCCTTGGTTTGTTGTTACAGAATGTATCCACGTGCATGTACTGGTCCAGTACCCTGTAGTACTGTATTTAGAATCCATGCAATTGATGAAAGGTCCCCAATGACAACTGTCTTATGGTACAGTAATTGCTGTAATAGGCCTAAATGTATCTCTTTGTTTCATGCTTGGCAATCTGCCAAATAAAGCACTACGGTATGATATTGTTATTTCATCCAAACTATTTTAAGGATCCAGACTGCACTTGTAAATGTCTGCCATAAATCAAAAAGCTCTGCTACATGTATTTACGGCACACCGTACGTATGAAGTGTGCAACGTGTACGTGTATATGTTGAATTTCTCCATTCAAATTCATCACCATACGATTGATTGCTGCCTGCTAAGATTAATGCAAACACATTAATGAGCACTGACGGCACATGAAAGGTTTTCTCCGGTCACATGAAATGGAATTACAAGTATAAAATTAGATTAATAATCTTTGCCTGAATGGCATGTTATTTCATAGACGGTGGATGTGCTTGTTCATCACTGGTTCCATCTCTACTCCCTGAAGAGGATGTGCGTCTGTTAAGTAGCCTCCGATGTTGGGAGCCATAATCAAACTCTACAAATTGAAACTCCACGCTCCCCGAAAAAGTAAAAATCACACTTCACGTCAGAGTATCACTTTCTGGAATAACTCGGGAGGCTTTCTCTTCCTTCATTCTACTTTCTTTTTTTTCCTTGTCCCCTCACCTCAACGTAGGCCTCGGGGATCAGCCCCCTCTGTTTGTTCGGCATCTCTGCCTCCCACCAGCCGTCACCGACATCTTGCCGGATGATGGTCAGGATCTGGTTCTCCCGGATGACGAGCTCGCCGTTTTCCACCTCGCCATCAAAGTCGTATAAAACTCGAACCTGTGTTCAGGAAAAGATACCCAAATCAAAAAACCAAAAAGACACAAATTGAATAATTGCAGACAACAATGATCATTCTCCTTACAAGTTTATAATTCATTTGAGAGATCTACTTTTCTTTCAATGTTTATATTTAAATTAATTTTAAAATTCTACGTTTTTTAACAGTTTTATTTTAAGCTGCTCCTTTCAGTGACTTTCTTGCTTCCGACCCAATAAATTAACAACAAAACGTGTACCAGTACACAAAACGAAGCTATTAAAACAGGCGTGAAGTGAACACAAATTTGTCATTTTCCAATTATAAAGAATGTGGGGTTTTTTAAATGTCAATTTTTAAACGAAGCTATTAAAAACAAGTGTAAAGTGAACATAAATTTGTCATTTCCCAATTATAAAGAATTTGGGTTTTTTTAAACGTCAATTTTTAAACGTGTACACTGTAAACAGCCATATCCACATTGCCAGTCCTGTGTGCCTATGTACCATGTACATGTAAGTGCACTGAACCACCACCTGCAGAAAATGCAGGGTCAAAGGTCCAAAGTAATTAAAAACGTACTGCCATTTATTCACTTTATCCCTTACCAAAACTTACAAATATCAGACAAGGCACGCATAACAATATACATGTACCTTAACCCTAACAGTCCCGAATGCTACAAAGTACTACTTCGTAGTAAAATGTAGTACTCAGCCCTGTCGCTTGTAAGAAGACATGACATTATTATTCTCTAAAGCCATAAAACACAATAGAGAAGACAATGTACCATACAGTGCTGTGGCACTATGAATGCATGGTTTCATTGTTCTCTGTACGAGTAACAATGGAATAAACCTAGCCAGAAATAGTAACTTGTAGCGCTAGGTCCTTCAGGCTGAGAGTGTTACTCAGTATTTTGTAGTACTGAGTATTCTGAGCCAAACAACGCCCGGTACTGTAAGGGTTAAAACACGAGCATGAGACAGCATATAGGTGTCAGCGGTGTGATCCTTATCACCATGATTATTAAAACTGCAGATACATCAGTGCACACAATCTGGTACACTTTTAACCCTAACCGCCAAGCACATTTTTTGGCTTACAGTACTCAGTACTACAAAATACTAAGTAATAGCCTGAGCCTGAAGGACCTAGCGCTACAAATTACTACTTCTGGCTAGGTTACTTCCATTGTTACTCGTACAGAGAACAATAAAGCCATGCATTCATAGTGCCACAGCACTGTATGGTACATTGTCTTTTCTATTGTATTTTGTGGCTTCAGAAAACAATGCGGTCATGTCCTCTTACAAGCGGCAGCACTGGTTACTACATTTTAATTTGTAGTATTATGTAGGGTTAGGGTTAAAGATTAATTAATGTTTACTAATAATCTGTTCACATGTAGGTCATTAAGGCTCTGAGACAAGAGCTATTTTGAGGTTTGGCAGCCGGTTAATCCCATATTATTACCGATAAGGGGAAGTCTTTAGTTAAATGCAGCATCAAACTCGGGACATACACACCTTGTGCATAAATCGGTTTATGCATACACAGTGTGTTTGCGGCCAGGGTGTATGCACCTGTACTAGGCTTATTAAAGCTCAATTAATTAATATTTAGTCTGATCATGGTGATACATGTACGGCCATGGTCTGATGCATATAACATTAATAACCGAACCGGATGGGCTTACATGTAACAGAGAAGGTTGGTTAAACTGGAGGGTATGTTATCCTAAGGACATCTTGTATTGTGAAACTTACATGTACAGGTACATGTACACTGTATGCCTCCATGATCACACGTAACGTTGGAGAATCTGCAACATACACCTATCAACGGCATCAAATGTTCTTTTTTACGATGTACATGTATACATCCTTGTGTATATTTTGCCTTTGACATCATTCAAAAATACCTACACCAAAAAAACCACCAAATTTTTAACTGTACATACAGACCTGTACAAAAATATCAAATGGAAACTTAACCTTTCATTGGCAGCTTATGAAAACATACATGTACATGCACGATACATGCGGAAGGTATACCATACATATGTCCATGTACATACCATCACACACAATCATTCATGAATGTACCATGTCCATGTACATTTCTAATGTCAAGTAACATCTGGAGTGTCACATGCATTCCTGATGCTACACCTGTCGTAAATCGGACATGGGTGTCTCAAGTTGGCTCAATGAAGGCCAAATCTGTCCTTTCCATTTTAATCACAAACCCGTATCACTTCCCGCAAATAAATACACGTATACCAATGCTGCAGTTCAAATACATACGTACAATATTTACATGCAGAGTTGGTACCCATACATGCACTCGTACAAGAACAAAATGTGGCTGCATAAAGCATATATGTACATGCATGTACATGTATATTGCAATATGGTCCACCAGTTTTGTAGACAAACAGGTGGAAAATCCCTCGTGGGCGTGCAAAACCACTCAGCTCACATAACTACAGCCTGCAATGTAGGCCATTCTATCAAAAATAATTCACCAGACACCAGTAGATTTTGTTAGGTACCCAGGATAGATTTTATGTAATAGGAGTATGGTTTATATAGGTTGCCAGAGAAAAAAACAACCAGTGGCTGACAGTTCTACAGGTTGGTATGGACGAGACTGACCTTACTTGGCCCCAACGGTCAACCAACTGCCATTACCTTTTGCGCTCCCAACATGATCAGGTTTCCTCTGTGCAAGTTTTCCCGGCACACGCCGATCCAGGCTACAGAAACAGCAATTCACAACACACACACTCAAAAAAAAAAGACCACTCCTTGTGCCACAGAAGGCACACAGTCCCATACATGTAGGTATGTCCTTCAGGTGATGACTTCATAAAATTGAGGGCTAGGGGAGAAAAAACATTGCCTCAGCTCTGAAGGTTCCTTGAAAGACGATATTTTCGGTGACTCAGGTCTGCCGAGTACAGTATCATGTACCGCGTGGGGGAAAAGTAGACACCCCTATAATCAGAGCTCCAAAGTCCTTGCGGCCAGCAAGCCGTGGACGCCGAGATACACGCGTACATGTAGTCTATAACGGTATGACTCACACACACACACACACACGATCCTGCCTGGGCTGGATTCCAAAAGACAATGCCGGAGCTTGGAGGAGCTCCAGGTCGAAAAAAGCAATCTGAGGCACAAGGCTCCAGAGGAAGTCCGTACCAAGCGCTGTCTGTGGTTTCCTCTACGACCCTGATCCAAACTAACATCCACATCAATTACATACACTGTAGTTCCCGTTTCATTGTCAAAACATGTACATGTACAGTCATTTACATGTCCCAGGTACATGTACTATACTGCACATGTACACGCATGCATGGGCCCGTACTCACCATAATGTAAAGTATTGTGTACATATACATGTACCTGGTACATGAATGCACATGTCTACGTGTGAGTAATGCTAGGACAATTGTGCTGCATCTTGCATGCACAAATAAATTCCTGATTTCCTGTGTCTAGTCTATGCAGCGTGTGCATGTGGTTATAAATATAGACACCGCGCCTCAGGTACAAGCAGTTGCCGGTACTGCAGAAGTTTTCATAAATTGAACCAGTACTCCGTCCATCTGGCATGCCCTCTGCCGTAACCGTACATGTGCCGTACATCACGTTTGACATGGGCACAGATTGTACTAAAAGCTTACATGTACAACGTACATGTATGTATGTAGTACATGAAAGAGTCAGCGCTTGCCAGTGCAACCTCTCTCTCAACTCAGCCGGGCAAACTCTGCTCAAAGGGGACAAAGGCTTGTAAATTTTATGTAAATCCAATTCACACGAGGGTTGACCTGTACACATGTAAATGACAACCCTTATTTGTGTATGTATGTACATGTACCGTAAGCCTATCCAGGAAATAAAAAACCCATCAAGTATGACACATGAGAAAATCAAAGGCAAAGACCAGGGGCATCGAGGCAATTTGCCTCCAATGCCTCAGTGAAATTACACGTATGTTTGGTTTTTATGTGTACAGTAAATTATCTCATCCCTCCTAGTATCATTCAAAATCCATTGAAATGATTAAGGGTTTGGAAGATTTCATAGGGTTGAAGATTGAACTTGTGTAGTAGAGCCTATTCTACATGTACATGTCTCTCTAACTCCTCTCCCAATTCTTTAAAAATCAATGAGCGTTTTTGGTGGATTTTACGGGGTCAAAGGCATCAGCCCAGCCAGCATATGGTACATGTACAATGTGGTCTGTTATGTAACCAGGGAGAAGAGTACATGTACGTAGGTTAAATATGACACACAACCACATTCTGTACACCTGTATCCACGTATGTACATGTACGTGTATACTCCTACAATATCCATGTTCCAAACATGCTCCTTTTCAAGGCCCACTGTATCAGTGTTTCATGGGCATTGAGGATGACCTCCCTCGGTGACCTCCAGTTTTGACAGTTAGTATTATTTTCACCGGACGTCCAACGGCAAGAATGCAAGCCATCCAGGAAGGATCAAGGGTTCACATTTCCTCCATCCTATCCAGGGAGCTCAGTCTCTGGCTGTGTTGGCTCCCTGTCGGATATCCACAAACATTTCTACCTCCGTTGTGGAATTTTTTTTTTCTTTTTCCTACTGCATGATGTAAGCAGTTTTGTACATGTAGCTTTAGAAGGGTTTTTGGCACTGGCTCTGTGCCATAAAAGTTGGGGGCTATGGCATCCAATTATCTTGAGCTTTTAAAACAATTCATTCTCCTGGGCGAAGAGAGGCACATATAGAGCAAAGTGATCCACCCACAGTGACCCACCATTCCTTCACCGGGGTGAAGTACATGTACCCGTACAGTAGGTAGCCCCAGAACGGTGGGGTCAGACGTCTGTCCTGCTCCCTCCGTCTACCTCGCTCGAGGGAGCAGGGCGGACGTTGGACCCCACAGTTCCGGGGTGCACAGCAGGTAGCCTCATATCCCTGGAACAGTGGGACTTCCACTATTCATGTTCACGGAAGTTCCACAACTGTCACTGCCTGTCACTACCAAAGCTTTCTGCGGACGGAATTTAGACTCTTGATCACTTTGAAATGTAAAAAATGTGCAAAGTGTATAAAAAAGTGAGAGACGGGAATTGACAAACATCGTGATGACCTACATGTACATGCACTCCAGGCCCTGGATTGGTGGGTCACATGCCACCAGCTGCTAGATTCGAACCCTTGACCCCATCACGTGTTACAATGTACATGTACATGAACCATTTAGCCACATGCCATAATGTTAACATTATGTTATCGGTACTGTTACTAATGTTAAGAGGAGACTGGCAACCTACAGTAACACTAGCAAGATTTAACTGATCAAATTATAAAAAGGACTAAAAACTAATCGAACAAAGGACATGGGCCTACATGTATACAACCATACATGTACCTGTACATGGCTGCTTTTAATTAATAAGACTGATTCTAATTTAACGGGAAGGGGATGAGTGACATCAATACCTTTTTTGTGATGGTTCTGATTTTTTAAATGCACAGAGATTTGAATGTGATTTTAATTAGTGATGGCTAAACGGATAAGTAAATTTACTAGCTTTTCATGTTTTGTTTGTTCTACATGTATGTGTACTGTAAATGTGTCCAAACTTAAGGGACCCCAATGGAAATAAGCCCGTGTCATTGGCTTTCTTGGGTTATTCCAAAATGAATCAACCGTCTCTTGTTTTCTCTATACATACGTACAATTGTTACTTAATTGATTGATTTCTGAATAAAATAATAATAATGCACATGTACAAGTTCAAATAATCTCTGCAAAGCACTGTGCATATACCGGTACATGTATGTGACACTGCATGCACGTACATATCCATGTAATCCATACATGAAACACTATACAGCCGAACCTCGTTAATAAGACTAAGAGGTGCTTGGCAAATTACAGGTGCATGTACTTTGTATTATCAGGAATCAGAAACAACGGAAAACAAAGGGATTGGGACCTCAAAATGTCCTCGTTCAAAGCAAAATCTTATATTAACTGTGCTCTTATTAATGAAGTTTAACTGTAATGACACCCATGTACATTCCCTATGTTCATGTACATGTACACATGCACATTATCCATGAACACGACATACACAGTTGATGTTGAAACACAAAACTCCTTCTTTCAAAACAGAAACCGTACATGTACATGTACCTCAAGTACACATGTACATGTACACTAATTAACTACCAGCAAAACCGAGTATCAATCAGTCCCATTTAATGATTAAACAAACTCGGTCACGCCAGTGCATGTCCTTCTCACCCGCTTCACAGTGCGCCCAGGTTGCCTTGCTATCCAGGTTTGCTTTGGGTTTCAGCAAATCTGGGCAGCATGCAGGCACAGGGCATGCATTCGTTCTCTTCTGAGCAAGGCTCACATTTTAGTATGTATCAGTACATTGTACTTTAGTGAGTCTAATTCGAAATTTTTTTTATTTCAGTTGTCCGTGTTCGTGGAAGAAAAAAAAGTTGGTTCACAAATCAACAATAAGCCTTTTGTACATCTGTAAATTTGAATAAAATCTGGTACACTGAGCTTTCTGATTGCACATGCACATAACAATTTGAAATCCACAGACTAAAGACACTGTTGCCATACCTCGTGATTCGAGGCAAGCTTTCGCATAGCGACCACCATCTCTCAAATGGACTGGTTCCTTTGCACCCTTCTTATCCACTGAAAACAGTGAACTGGTGCAAGGCGTCTCTTATGTAACCAAGCAAAAGGTTGCCCCGAAGCACAAGGTACACGTATAGCAATAATGTCTTTTAATAGTACGGAGAATTCAAATTTTTATGTTCATGTGAATGAGAAGAAGGCAGTGTACCAGATTTTATTCAAATTCTCGCAAAAGGCTTGTGTGCATCTCAATGAGCAAGTATAAACACTACATGTTAAATTAGAATACTCGTTACATGTACCGGTACATGTATTTCTAATTCTCGCATACACAAGAAAAAAGACTTCCCCTTTGAAGGACAGACAATATGGATGCATGAAACTTGAAAGTCTTCATAATTTCATGGCACAATTAATGAACGGGGTATGGTACTACAGTATACGTACATGTACAGGTTAACATGGATGAACCCATGGACATCGCAAGGGGAGGCAGGGGGTACATGTACCGGTACTTCTTCCACCCCCCCCCCCAAAAAAGGTAAAACAAGAAAAAAGAAGAAACATGAGCAATATAAAAAAGGAGGATAAAAATCACCAATTTGCCAGAAAATACAAGTACATGTACATCACAACTGACCCCTCCCATCATGAATAATTCATTAGTTTGCAGCCTTTGACCCCCCTCCCTGGAAAAACTCCTGCCCTTCCCTTTTCTGTGTATTTGACATATAGTACATGTACATATTGTACTAGAGTCTACAGGTAGAAAGCATACATGTACAGTGTACATGTACATTACACATGTAAAGTTGGCCATGCATATGCAGCAACTGAATCAGCCAGGACCCAATTAAGTAGCAACGTGTTAGTGGGCTTTGACAAATAACCAGCGGCAGGAAATTCAACGTCAAATTGATACACTCTAAATTTGCAAGTCCAACACACTATCGGGTACCACTTCACGACGTTACTGTTTACATTTTGAGGGAACTTCAGCACTGTAACCTCAATTTATTGCAGCAGTAAACTGAACCTACTAGTACATGTACACGTAAAATGTAAATACACAATAAACTTTTTTTTTCAAGTACACTAAAATACAGGAACTAAGTCTGGAAAGTGACCCTTGCCCTTTGGGTACTCTTGACAGGCACCATGTACACACGCCTACATGCTTTGCTCTGAAGAGAGTCGATGAACCACATCAGAAAATCCAGCACAAACCTCACTCCTATTCTGTGTATACATCAAGTGTCAGTGCAGGAGCACAATGGAAAAATGTACCAGGACACAAGTTTGCCTTTCCAAGAGCTGCAGGCTGTAAGTGAAATCATCTATCGGTACATGCACTGGTATACGATGCCTGCACACTCTGCTGAGGGCGCTGTTTGGTCTGCTTCTGACAGCAGTATCGGTGTACAATGTACGGTACTTACTCCACCTGTGTTCTCCCTGAGCCGGTTTTTCTTTGCTGAATACTCCAAAATAAGCCAGCACACGGGAGGTCAACTTCACACTCTGACGAGTGCAAAGTTTCATTAATTTTTGCAGGGCGTCTAGCCAAAGTCACTAATTCAACAAACCACCATCTACATGTAGTTGCCAAATCTGCCTGATACGCAATGTTATAATGTTTATGACGGCAA